CCTATTGCTGGTACCTATTGCCGGTACCTATTACCGGTACCTATTGCCAGTACCTATTGCCGGTACTTAGATTGCCGGTACAGCTATTGCTGGTACATATCGCCGGTACCTATTGCCGGTACCTATTACCGGTACAGCTATTGCCGGTACCTATTGCTGATACCAATTGCCGGTACAGCTATTGCCGGTACCTATCACCGGTACCTATTGCCGGTACCTATTACTGGTACAGCTATTGCCGGTACATATTGCTGATACCTATTGCCGGTACCTATTGCCGGTACCTATTGCCGGTACAGCTATTGCTGGTACCTAGTGCCGGTACCTATTGCCGGTACCTATTGCCCTCGCCAGAATTATGAGAGTCCAATATAAATAGTGGACGTTCAGGATTTTGCTGGAGGTGCTCCGTCCGGACTGCCATATTTCTAATTCCTGACAGTCTACTCAGCCGTCCAATATTTTTCATGACTTCATCCGACCTGTCTCAAGTATACGCTCAAGCTGCAACTTAGAAGCTTTAATTTACCCCGGTGCGATGGCAGCTGGAATTTATATTACTTCCAAATAAACTCTAAATTACCAAAGACTGTCCCAGAATTTTGAAGTTGACTAGACGCTTTCCTAATAAAAACATCAATGCATTAAATTTCGGTCAAACTAATTTGATTAAGGTTTTCCGTTTCGTAAGTACTTAACCGACCTTCCGTCATTGCACTTAAAGTTAGCGCGATCACAGTTCGTGAATCTGCAATATGTGATTTTTTCGCGCAGTTAAAACCAAAGCAAGTTTTTAAGTTAACCGTTTCAAGTTAATGATCTCGATCAGTATTAGACCGTCTAATATTCAGTTACCGTCTAATTTAGACGCTAACTCAATATTTCCAAACCTCATTTACGTCCAATTTTTTCGGGATATCATGATTTTTTTCATTGATAATAGACGTCACTGTAAATATTTATTATAATTTATCTCCCCAAATTTCCACAAGCACGGGTTTTGAAGAAACGTGAATCGATCTATGGAAAACCCATTCGGATTCTTAGAACTTTAGAACAAGATAAATATTGAATATATAGTCATGGTGTACATCCGGTGTCCTCATTTTGCCGCTGGATCATAATTATGATCGGCAGATAAAGGCCCTTATATCTGACGATCCTAATTATGTGCATAATAATCCTAATCATGTCCCTCTATAATAATTATAGTGCCGACAAACCATAAGCCGGATCAACGTCACGTCTTCACACATAATGTTTTGTGTAATTTCCTAATCTTTATAAATTCCAAGACCATTTTGATACAAAGTAAGCTAATAATAATAATAATAACAACCACTTTTATAGATACACACAGTCTCTACGTCTTTATCCTCTGGTCCCTATAGGGTCAGCTGACTCCGGGCCAGAGGAAAATTACCTATTGCCACGGTTTGATGCCTAGGCAGTCGAGACCTCTTATTGAGACCCGATATAATAATAATATGACTGTTATGATTTAAATAATATTCACCGTCACGTCTTGTCCTGAATTCTTCAGCACGTGTTTATAGACCCGGGGGGAGGGTTGCATGCCGTATAAGGGTATTTCTCATAACTTATAATTGATATTTCTATGGGGGCTGACCTGTAGGATGTATTTCTCTCCCACGTGACAGGAAAATGGGATCACGAGCATTATTAAATATCGTATCTCGCCTCCTTAATAAAAATCCTTTATAAAAAGATCAAACAATAAGTCTGCAGGTTGTCAGGTAAGATCAGATATGATCTCCCTTCGCATTTCTTATCAGCTATGATAAACTGTGACCGCATTTCTTATTTGATAAGTATTACCGGTCAGCTTTATGATCAAATTTCACTATATTTGTGATTTTGGATACTAGTGGGGAGCTGCAGCTGTGAACCATTTTGTTTCTGACTCGTGAGCTATGATAAACTGTGACCGCATTTCTTATTTGATAAGTATTACCGGTCAGCTTTATGATCAAATTTCACTATATTTGTGATTTTGGATACTAGTGGGGAGCTGCAGCTGTGAACCATTTTGTTTCTGACTCGTGACAGTTGTTAACCAATCAGGTTCCAGTATTGACCAATCAACAAGTGCAGGATGATCCATTTGTCGAGTGGTAAACTTGGGCCGTTCATCTTAATTTCAGGTCACCAGGTAGCCCTCTTGCCGGCACAATTAAAGGGAATCAAATAACATTGACTTTATTTTAGCTGTAGTGGAGATTTTAGATATCAAGCTATTTTTGGCACTTATTATGTGCGTTCTTTGATTGATTGATGGAGGAGCACTACCCAGAGGCATTACTCGGCACTATAACGCCTTAAAATCTTTAATTACAATCAAATATAAATATATGCACACAATGTATAAAATATGAATAATGTATCAAATATGATTACGCTATTAGCAAATTTAAATAGTACTATTAAGAATTTCTAAATAACTCTTATCTCTTGACATAAATTTAGAACAGCGACACAGGGTCTGAAGAATGCGCGGTGATATTTTTATCTTGTAGTTGTAAATGACAGTGAAATTGCGCGGTAGCGATAGCATTGTAATAATGCTCGAAGATAGTCATATTTCGTTCTGAGGTAAAAGTTTTGTTGCTCGTCATTATCAACGTATGTTGTACCAAATTATTTAAGTTTCTAAAAGTACGAAATTTGAGTTGTTCCAGTCCTTGTCATCCGGGTTTAGTGCTTGTGCAGTAAGCACATGCTTGCTGACTGTAGACTTGAATGAATTTAAGAACTTGTCTTGTAGGTGCAAGTCGTGACGTATTTTATGTCCTTGTTAATAATGTTGACCGTTTTGTTATATAACTTAGGCCCAATGTAAGAAATGCTCTTGTCTGAATAACATAAACGGTTAAAAGGTACTGCAAAAAACTGAGGTTCTCTTCTAGGTGCGTTTAAGTTTGAAACAGTGAACATTCTTATAATAGTTGGTGGTTCAGTGTTAGAATATACTTTGTGCATTAAGCATAATATACAATATACATCTAGCTATCACGTTCGGTAAAGCTAATACTTCTATTAGCTTTACCGAAAGAATGCCCCTTTTCTGGGCCGAGAAGAATCTTGTAATGGAGTTTAGTGATCTTGTTCTCCAAACTGTGCAGCAGTAGGGACTGAACAAAGCTGTTGTATATCAACTTAAGTGCTTTGTTAGGTACTGAGCCTTTGAGTTTGTAGAGAATGCCCGCATTTCTAGATACTTTAGTGGCTAAATTTCTAATGTGGTGGGCCCAATTTAATGACCACGCCAAGAAACTTTTCGTGGTCACTTTGCTTGCACCCTCCATGAACTCTCCAAGTAAATCTGACATTTGCACCTATTATTCTCAGACTGTTCCCCATTTGCACCTATTATTCTCAGACTGTTCCTGGCAATCATGGCGGAGAGCTTTCTTATACGTGACAAAAGACCACAGCTGGGAATGATCGTTCATGTGATAAAGGGATCGTCTGAGTCCAACCCATACTTTTAATGTGTGATTAAATTTTTTCTTACACGTGATATAGGTAACCATTATTAGCCATTAACCAATCAGTGTCCACATTGACCAATCAAAATCCAGAATCGCTGTCACCTGCGTCAATATGAATAGAAATACCTATTGTTTGTGTCAAGGATATAATAGCGCAGATAAAAGCAATTGATCTGAATACTGGCGGGGAGTTGAACTATATTTGTTTAATATGTGACGGCCGTGATAGCGGGTTTTATTGTTGCCAACTGATTGATTAATCGCTGTATTGCATTAAGAAAAATACAGTTCATACGAGTATTTTTATCAATATAATTTCAAATTGTTACACTAGTTACACAAAGTAGTACATAATTTTATTATCAAAATTTATGGACTTTCGTTTCACCAACTTTTCCGGATTATATAATTTTGCACCGTCCGGACGTGACCCCATTTGATAATTTAATAATAAGGAATAGAATATGCTTTCTAATAACATAAATGAAGTTACAACTAATTTGTTTGCTTCGGTGTCTTGGTGACCCTTAAATTTAAATTACGCTATTTCATCTCACGACGTTTATCGATTCCTCGATTTTATCGCGCACGTGCACGCGCGTTGGCACTGAATATAACTTTTAACCCATACATTTAAAGCAAATGTTTTTAACCTCAATGCTTGGAGATATGTTCTTGATTACATATTATAAATGATACCTTTATGCTATTTTCTGAAAAACTTCTGATATCCCAATATAGGAAGTATTACGAGTATGCAGGAAATTCAACTTCTAGATTATTTCATAGGAATATCACTATTTGGAATTTGTCTTGCTGGGTAAGCTGATTTAACTTTGCTCAATACTTTGATTGATTGTTAATTTTATGATATAATTAAATAGTACCTTTTAATTTATGCAATTTATATACATAGATATATGTTGTATCCAAAACTTCAGATCACTTTGAAACAAGCAATAGCTTAAAATCAAACTTCACTATTAACATTATATTGAAACACAATCTTTAAAAGAAAGTGAAAGTATTAACTGAAAGTGAAACAGTATGTTCTTTTCAGGACTCTGGGTAACTTGTGGATGGTAACTACGATACTACGTCGGGACGGAGAAAGAGTACTTCAGTGCGTGTTTCTTTCCCAGCTCTCTACAACTGACCTCATCACTTGCCTTATTTCAGCGCCTTTTTCAGGTAAACTCAAAGATTTAACACAAGGTTGCTGTTTTAAGAATGGATATTTTGACAGTTAGAAAATCTTGAAAAAGTTCGAAAGTTGTTCGATCTAACCAACGTTTGATTTAATTCTAATAATAATCTGTTTGGACATCGTCTGATTCAATGCTTACTTATTTGACTATAAAATAAATGACATCCGTAATCAAAAGCTGCAATTCGAGCGCTTTCTTCAGCAAACGATTAATAAACAGTCTTCTAACTGAACGAATATTTCACTTCCACTAGCAGTCTGCAGTAACACACATTCTCATTATGTCCTCAGCTTATGTGCTGGTTAACAACAGAGACGAGGTAAAACTGTCCGCTCTGCCTGCAAATTTGCTGGGTTTCCTGAGTAACCTGATGCCTATAATGTCTCTTTACCTCATCTTGGTGATCTGCATTGCTAGAATGATAGGTATTGTCAAGCCTCTCAGATACAAATCTCTCGTCACTTTTAGGGTAAGTTTAATGTAATACCACTCTCTAACCCACTACCTTTGTAAAGTTGTGAGGAAGTGTGGGACAGTATGGTGGAAACTAGGCGAGTCGGTAGAGGGAGGAGAAGGTGAGGACTGAGGGAGGAGGAGTTGGAGGAGGAACTAGGCGGGTCAGTGGAAGGAGGAGGAGGTGAGGGAGGAGGATGTGAAAGAAGAAATAGGCTGGTCGGTGGAAGGAGGAGAAGGTGAGGGAGGGAGGAGGTGGAGGAGGAACTAGGCGGGTCGGTGGAAGGAAGAGGTCGGTGGAAGGAGGAGGAGGTGAGGGAGGAGGAGGCGGGCCGGTGGAGGGAGGAGGAGGTTAGGGAGGGAGGATGTGGAAGAGGAACTAGGCGGGTCGGTGGAAGGAGGAGGTGAGGAAGGGAGGAGGTGGAGGTCGAACTAGGCGGATCGGTGGAAGGAGGAGGAGGTGAGGGAGCAGGAGGTTGAGGAGAAACTAGGCGGGTCGGTGGAAGGAGGAGGGGTAAGGGAGGAGGAGGTGGAGGAGGAACTAGGCGGGCCGGTGGAAGGAGGAAGAGCCAAGAGGTGAGGGAGGGAGGAGGTGGAGGAGGAACTAGGCGGGTCGGTGGAAGGAGGAGGCGAGGGAGGAAGGATGTGGAGGAGGAACTAGGCGGGTCGGTGGAAGGAGGAGGTGAGGGAGGGAGGAGGTGGAGGAGGAACTAGGCGGGTCGGTGGAAGGAGGAGGCTAGGGAGGGAGGAGGTGGAGGAGGAACTAGGCGGGTCGGTGGAAGGAGGAGGCGAGGGAGGAAGGAGGTGGAGGAGGAACTAGGTGGGTCGGTGGAAGGAGGAGGGGGTAAGGGAGGAGGAGGTGGAGGAGGAACTAGGCGGGCCGGTGGAAGGAGGAGGTGAGGGAGGGAGGAGGTGGAGGAGGAACTAGGCGGGTCGGTGGAAGGAGGAGGCGAGGGAGGGAGGAGGTGGAGGAGGAACTAGGCGGGTCGGTGGAAGGAGGAGGAGGTGAGGGAAGGAGGAGATGGAGGAGGAACTGGGCGGGCCGGTGGAGGGAAGAGGAGGTGAGGGAGGGAGGATGTGGAGGAGGAACTAGGCGGGTCGGTGGAATGAAGAGGTGAGGGAGGGAGGAGGTGGAGACTGGAGAAGGAACTAGGCGGGTCGGTGGAAGGAGGAGGAGGTGAGGGAGGGAGGAGGTGGAGGAGGAACTAGGCGGGTCGGTGGAAGGAGGAGGAGGTTAGGGAGGGAGGAGGTGGAGGAGGAACTAGGCGGGTCGGTGGAAGGAGGAGGTGAGGGAGGAGGAGGTGGAGGAGGAACTAGGCGGGTCGGTGGAAGGAGGAGGTGAGGGAGGAGGAGGTGGAGGAAGAACTAGGCGGAGGTGAGGAAAGAGGAGAGATAAGTTTCTTTTCAAATAGTCTACCAAATGTTTTGTGATTAATTGGCTAATCTATCCTCCCATCAGCGGTTAGTCATCATTGTCAAGTAGCCTTTGACTAGACTTCATCTTTCACTTTCACTTTCACTTTCACTAATCTATCCTCCCTTCAGCGGTTAGTTATCATTAGCACAGTTTCATGGACCACTGCCTCTCTTTACTCTGCCTTGCCTTTCTACTTCAGCAAGCAATACGTTTTTCACAGGTCAGATTCGCAAAAATTACTATTTTGAGGATTATCAATTTATATTGTTCTTTGTTAATAAATGTTTGCGTATAAATTTTTAAAATGCCTCTTTTGTTACTGTTCTGAAGAATTTTATGCTGAGTAAAAGTGCAGATTATGCATCTTTCCAGGGACACGGCATCAATGACATTTTCAACCTCACATCACTTTCTGGGAGTCCCTGAACCGTACGCAAAGGTATTTACCAACTATCTGGCTAAACTAAATCAGTGGCGTTATAGCTAAGGGCCCCACAAACCCCGCTCTGGGGGGCGGGGGGTTGGTTTTAAACTGGCCAAAGTGATTACGTAATATGTGAACAACCCCTAAAATTTAATCATTTAAGTTGTTGACGGCAGTGCCGATAGTGGTGATTGACATTCCCTTGTTCCTGGTGGTCGCATTCCTCTCTGTCATATTCTACAATCTCCGGACTAAAGGTAATTAGACAGGTTAATGAACGTCAAAGTGAAAGTCAAAGTGAAAGTCGAGGTGAAGCCGAAGGCGATAAAAGATGAGGACTAAAGCGAATTTTCATTTAAAAATAGTTAGTTATGACCCTGTACAGTATACATGGCACTTAGCAGTTAGCAGTCTTTTGGTATTACTAGCGAACCAGCACTTTCAAAGCATTTAAATACATTTATATTACTTATCAGATTTTACCCAGCCTCTAAATTCAGGAATGAAGAAATCAAATCTCCGGCGAGAGGCCTCACATACCACATTGTGTATAGCACTTTTGTTCGCTGTTTGTTACGTTCCCAGTGGCTTCTTGAGGTTCCTCTTCTTACTCGACCATATAGGTTAGTTTAAATGTTGAAAGTGAAAGTGAAAGTGAAAGTGAAAGTGAGAGTAAGAAAAAAATTGAAAGTGAAAGTAAACCTTAAATTATAAATATTCACCGAATATTATATTCGGTTATTTCAGGAGTCCTCCCGTCTCCAATATACCCAGAGTCAAGGTCCCGTCAAGCTATCTTCCTATACGTCTTCTTCTTGATCAACACGTACACTGTTACAGTTAATAGCTTTGCAAACCCCGTCCTATACTACACAAGGACATTCAGGTTACATTAAATTCATGTCTTGGGTAACCCAATTAGTAAGTTAACAATTAGTTATTAAATTTACGTGATATTTCATCCATGTCAGTTGTCAGGAGTAAATATTTTGCGATTTGGTATGGGTCCGTTTTGAGCTCTTAAAGATTGAATTATTCGGTTATCAAATACTAACTGGTCATACTCATAGTTAATAAATAATCAATTAGCAATCGATAATTGGTTAATGAGTAATTATTTAGTACTTAGCACCAGTTATTAATTACTAAAACTACTATTTTTCAGACGGAGGGGAGCAATCAACCACTCCAACACAAAAGGGACGAAATTAGAAGTGACTGCAGTTTCACTCGCAGTCAACAAGCGCAATTTAGTGACAATATAAACTGCGGAAAACAAAATTGTGAATTTTGAGCGAAATATTTGTCAATAATTATGTTTTCAAATACTCTCACAAGAATGTGTGGAAGGATATCTGAAGAACTATATGTTTGGTGACATTTAATCGGCTTGTAACTTTTTCATTTATTGTATCATTTTAGGAGTCCTTCCGTCTCCAATATACCCAGAGTCAAGGATCCGTCTGTATGTTTGGTAGCATTTAATCGGCTTGTAACTTTTTCATTTATTGTAATTGAGTGGCTCTCTCAGGAATTGATATACTATAAAAATGTTAATTCTAATTTTTGTATTTTTTATTATAGCAATTCTTATTTTTTGAATGGTTGACGGTCAACATTTTTACATTTTTTGTTGCTAAGTTTAGGTTATGAAATCAAATAAAATTCGTGTAAAAACTAACTTAGTTACAGGGTTAAGTCAATGAAACGAGCTAATAAGTCAAAAAGAATTATACAGCTGAACACAATGGAGATCTAACAAACATCTAATTTTGTTGAGATGCAACCTGCCAAAGCCCATGGGGCATGGTGCCTTGGTATAAGAGTATAAGGAGAGTTCTGAATTTACCACTTGCCAAGCTCTGTCACATTGTTGCTAGTAGTCACCACTTATCATGATGACAACCTGCTCCAGCTTAGTAACAGACACGCCATCCAGCCATATCCCATAGCTACACGTGGGTGACATCGCCTTTGGTATGCACCGAAACAACGTAATAATAGATAAATTTTAACAATAAAAATTTAAGGGGGTCATTTATAACAGTAACATGTCTAAGATGATGAAAATGTAATGTCCCTTGATTTTATTCTTTTTCAAATTCATACCAGTATGATGGAACAAAAGGATTTAACATTTTAAAACTATTAATATACAATGTAGCACGAGTTAATTAGCAAATATTACAATTTCATGCGAATAATGCATGAGTACGTTATACGAGTAGAATAGAGAAAAACAGTGTAAATAATTTAACGAGTCAATAATGCTCTGATTCATTAAGCAAGTCAGAGTATACAAATAAATAAATAAATTATGTATGTATATTTTTAATATTTACGTTAAATTAAACATAAGTGTTATAAGGGATGTAATAAATACTCCTCTAATAGTAATTCCCTCGATTGCAACAAACCGGGTTGAATAGCATTAATATATAACCTCCCTATACCGTGTTCCGTGGCTCAGTATACTGAGCTCATCCCCCCCCCCCCCCCCCCCCCCCCCCATTTAGTTCGTTCAAAGCATGTGTTTTATAAAATCTCACATCACATCTACTACAGATTGGGATCATGTACTTATTTTTAACCGTTTTTGCCCTGACAAGCCCGGCATAGACAGGTTTTATTATTAACAAAATTAACAAATTTACCAGTGAATAACGTATTGTTGTGTTATGATCATCAATGAAATTCTGAACAAATAAATAAAATATCTGAATAAGTAGATAAATACATTTTTTGGTAAGTGAATTTATTAAAATTTTCCATTGGCGTTCCTTCCAACAGGAAGTAAACACAAGTTATCCAAGATCGCAAATCTTACTATATCTTATTATATATAAAGCGAGACGATATATATGTTTATAATTATATATCCGTACCATTTTACTGACACTTTACGGTATCAACTTTAATACGACTTTCCGCAAATACGGTAAAAGATATACAACTTAACCTTTTTTGACTGGTTCAAATGCTTCAAAGGGACATACACCAAAAGCTTTTATGGCGAGATTCGGGATTCGACTTCATACTATGAAAATATAGATAAAAAACAATATGATTTAATACATTGAAATTTTTTTTTCAAAAACAAATTATATTTTCTTTTTGGTAATTTAAAAAAAATTGGTAAAGTCTGTCACTGAAATACTCAAAAATATCACACCTTAAAACTCAAAATTGAGGGAAATCCTGTTCCAAAAAGTTGGATATGATCATCAGCTATACACTCGCAAGAATTTTGAAGCGATATCTATATTTCATACTGATTTGAAGGCCATTAAGGGGACATACACCAAAACCTTTTTTGCCGAGATTCGGGATTTGACTTCAAATTATTAAAGTATAAATAAAAACAATAAGATTTGATACATTGAGATTCAATTTTGAGAAGTCTGTCACTGTAATGCCGATATTTCAGTCATTTTTAAAACAAGGTCGAGGGAAGAAAAATTGAAATTTTTGCCTGCCTACTATCAAAGTTGTATATTTTACCAATCACCCAGGTCATAAGATATCGCTCCAAAAATTCTTGTGAGTGTAGCTAATGATCATATCCAACTTTTTGGAACAGGTTTTTTTTCGATTTGAGTTTTAAGGTTTGAAATCTGGCCTCAAAGAACTTAGTAAAATTCATCGTAAAAAGGCCCAAAATGGCAGATTTAAGGTTTACAATGTTTTTTAAATAATTTTTACAGAATCGTTATCAGCTTGGTAAGACGAATCTCTTAGTACCAAATTTATAATACTTAAAGACACAAATTTTGTTCGAGCTTAAATTTAAGACAATTTTTCATATAAAATCATCTATTTGCAGCATTATAGTGCAAATTGTCTGAAACAGTACAAGCCGTCTAATTTGTAAAACTGCCCGGTTAAATACCAGGCATCTAGACAATAAGACAATAATATGGTACAGACAGGAGCATGGAATAGCAGAGCAAGGTTCACTAGATGAAAGCACTTAATGGTACTCTAAGGGGAATTGGATACAAAAGTAGCTCAAAGATAGATACAATAAATTTATAATAGTTTTTTGTGATTTTTGTATCCATTTCCGCTAGACTGTTCATGAGGACCTTTGAACACGGAGACGTATCATCCTTCTGTCAGTGGACCACTGGGCGCCACTAGTTTTGTCTATTATGCTAATAATTTAATTCATTAGTTTGTACAGCTATTGCTAATCGATCATTTGGGTGTCATGAACAACTCTCCTGCGCCGAAGGTAACCTACAAAAACCTGGTAGGTCACATGTTCCTTTTAGTTTTAAAAGTCTACGGCCGATTTTTCTTTTAAACAGCAAAAGGAAGATATTGCCCATGATAATCTTCGGGATATTCAAAGGCAGGTTTTTCAGTATTCATGAGGTTCATGGGGGAAAAAAGCATACAAACTTGGCCACATCTATTGAATACATTTACGAGTCATGTGGAATTGGAGCTGTGTTCTCATTGGTTGGTGTCACGTGGTGTGAGTAAGCGGTTGTTGGGGCAATGGGGCTCTACGATTTCTAGCTGTATCTATCATTAGATGTCGCCAAAAGATTAAGAATAAGGAACTAAAACTAAATAACATATAATAAACAAACATCCAACCTCTTTGCTCTGAAGGGGTAGAGTCATTGTGTTGAAGAGGTCAATTTCTGGAGTTCAAGTTTTTTTCTTCTTTTTTTCAATTTTATCTTTTTTTTATGATTATCTATAGAAGTCTTTGAAATGTCACACCTAGTCTTTAAAGGCGTAACGGCTATCGTGCTGATAGTCTGAATTTACTTTCCAAATGGGAATCTTAGCCGCTGGTGGATTGTTTCTGATCTTTAAGTCTCATGATCTTTCTTGTGACTATTCCTCCTAAAGCGACTTATAATGGCGTCCCCTGTCTTTTTTCCCTTCATGTTGGGCCACTTGTCAGCCGTTTCTTTAACATCATCACCCTTGCGTCTATTTAGATTTGTTGAAAAGTGACTTTATGTATTTCCTCATGTCTTTCTTTCTGGTGAAGTAGATGATCGGGTTGATGGAAGAGTTGACGGGCGTCGCGATCCACAAGGCAGCATTTCCTATTATCATATTTGCCATGTTCTTCCTTGTTAAACCAAGTCCGCCGAACTGGAAATCGTAGAAGAAAATTGCGTTAGTAATATTGAAGAAGCAGGAGATGACGGCTACCAAAAGTATAGTGACTGTGGCTTTCTGGTTGGTGTTGGGTCGCGGCGCCTGGTTTGCATTTTGCACTGGAGCAACTCCAAGCTGCTTTCGGTAGCTTAGAAGCTTCCGTGCAGAGATGATGGAGGAAATGAGAATTATGACACAAAGTGTGAAGAGAACTGTTATCATCAAGCCATTTTCAAAGTTGTTGAACATTTCAAACCCTTGTGTATTTATGTAGTAATAGTAGAATCCAAGCAGCAACTTCACGATCTCTTGAACAACGAAAATCAGTGCTGCAACTCCAACAGCCTTCTTGTTGATTTGATAGAAAGGGAAGCAAAGAGATACGGTTCTTGTAACACTTAGAACACATGTGGCAAAAGCAGATCCATTAATGAAAACATCGAGTATACCGATAGAAACTCTAAAGAAAGGACTGCTTCTACCACACATGGACCCTCCACAGTGATAAAAGGTTACCACGGCAATTGCAATTACAGACACTAGCAGGTCAAAAACGTTCAGAAACATAAAATTTCTGTTGCTCAAGGTTCTTTCGCCTTTTCTGATGAAGTAGGAGAGAGAAATAGAATTGGTAATAGATCCTGTCAATGCTATAGCCCCAGTGCTGAGCGGGAGGATTTGGCTTAAGTATACTTGAATCGCGGAAGAGGAAGCCATATTTTATCTTCGCTGTTAGAGAAATAGAATTGAGGTTATTATGGCAGTTAAAATGTGTTGTGAGCAGAAGTGTAATAACATTATTGTAGTTGTAGCTGATATCCATCGAAAAAATTACAGAAATAAACAGGACTAAATACTTTAAACAGGATTCAATTTATTAAATGTACTAGTGTAACCCGGCGTTCGGCCGGGATTTCAGTGCCGCAGTAAAAAGCGTATGAGTAATTAGTAATTACCCGTTGAGTCAAAACCCGCATTAGGTGAGCAATTCTATTCGGAGTGCCCTCACGTATCCAAATCCAATAGTATTAGTATCTTAAACAATAATCTCATACGCTACTTATGCAGCTACATATGCAGTAATGGGAGAGAGAGAGCGAGTCCCGTAACTCTTACCGTTTTCTTGATTAAGCTGATCAAG